TCTCTCTCTCTCTCTCTCTCTCTCTCTCTCTCTCTCTCTCTCTCTCGCTCTTTCTCGCTCTGCTCCTCGGGCGGTTTATTCGTGGCCGAGAGAGCATTGATGATAAATCGAAGAGAACGAGATAGATCGATTTTCTCGGCAAATTTGAAACGATGTTTTTCTTTGCTTTTCGGAGCCCCACAAAACCCACAATTTTACAAAAAGAGCCAATTAATCCTTTAAAACATACGAATTCCTTGAAACTTGGTATATGGAGTTTAGTAGATTTTGAAAAGTTTCAAAGTTCAAAATGGCAGATCCAATATGCAGAATTAAAAATGAAAAATGGGCTCAGTTACTTGAAATTGAGTATTCAGAGGTTTTTAGTGATTATGAATATGGAGTCAGATTTTGCATTAATTTGCAATTAATTTGCAACTTCGTTAAATTAATTTTTAATCTATTTTTTGCAATTTTAATTTGCCATTTTAATTTTTTTGTATTTTTATTTCATATTTAAAATCAGCGACTTAATAAAACTTTAGATACCAAAAGTGTAAATGAAAATGCCATTTTGCGATTTTGATTTCTTCTATCTTACCTAATATTTTCAAAATTTGTAAATTTTAACTTTGAAATCGAAATCAGCAACTCCCGAATATCTAGTTTCAATATATCATGTACTGACGAAGTTTTTACTATAGTACATTATACATGTATTAAAAAAATTGTTCGGACTTTGAGTCATCATATTGAATCAGTTGTGAATTTTGAAATTTTTATTACAGAGATTCGAAATCAGCAATCCAAAATATAATACCCTAAATATGACATTTCAAAGTAAGAGAAATATATTTTTTTTAAGTTTTAAAAGGCATATTATATATGATATACCGTGCTTCAAAGGATTAAAGTAATTCCAAGTCAAAATGTATTCGTGAATCTTGATCCTCGAGTAACATAATTTGAATACATTTATTTTACACGTTATGTGCAAAGTAGTTTTTTGTACATTTGCCGGACCACGCGCGTCGAGAGGAAAAAAAAAGAAAAGAGAAGAAAGGGAGGAGGATGCGCGAGAAGGAGGGGAAGGGAATTGGAGAAGAGCGATATCCGCAACAAAGCTAAATTAATTTTCTGTCTTACGCGTTACCGGGTTGGTTCGCGATGGAACCGGTATATTTCAAGCGAATTAATTTTCCCTTTGATCAGCGCACAGGTTTACTAGTTTGCGGCGTCGAGCTTACTGCGCGGGAAGAGGGCTGCAGGGGTTTTCGAACGGCGGTAGAACCAGGGAGGGAGGGAGGGCGGTGGATTTCAACGCGCGGGTGCGGGAAGGGACGGAAGTTTCTGGCGAGCTTCCGTTCGCGATGGCTTGTCGTTGCCGGTGTAAAACAACGCAGCAACATATCCCGCACGCGAGTACGCCGACACAGTTAATTCCGGAATGTAACTTTCCGAGTGCGAGTGTGTCATGAAACGGTGTGCAACCTCGCCTCGCAAATCCTTTCAGATCTACCCCGTCTTTTCCCATCATTAGAAATGACGTCTTCTAGGTATAATTTCCGTTCTATTTTAAACGAATCAATTCAAATGAAGGGCATTTTGGCATATAGGTATTGTAATATCAGTCTCGTAAATCAATTTACTTGTAAGTGGCGGATTTTAAACGACAGCGACCGAATAACAAAGAAATTAGTGCACACATTCGGTATATACACGGGGATGAAGTGAAGTTGCGTCACACTCACTTCACAAAAAGTTATCGAGTATCTCAAAACACTCATAAGACAGCTGGGAGAAGCCGAGTATATAAATCACAGAATATGTACAGTAGATTCCAACGGGGAGAGAAAAGTGTTTAGATCAACAGAAAGAAAGCCAAACTTAATGTACACAGTCAGGAGTCTGAGAGAGTTAATTCGAGCTATTTTTTTTTCTTGAGAAAGTTCATAGAACTCTTCGTTCATAGAATTCTCTTCGTTTCCTAAGTTCAAAGTGAAACTAGTTTGTGGGAGTGTTCTACAATATGGTACAACGTGCGTTATTGTTAGGAAACTGGTATAGACGGATTTATATAGAGGAAATTAGTTGTAATGTTCATAATAGAAGAAAAAAGTCTCGGGCAGAAACTACACGCACATTCTCCATTTTTTTCTGTTTTTTTCAAGCAGTGTGTCCGCTTTAATGCTGCAAATCTCTCAACTTCCTCAAAGAGAGAAGAGTGGAAATAGTTATCGTCAAGATACGTGGGGAAGTAACTTTAACTCGTGATTACAGGAAACAAAACGATTATACGTAAAGGAATTACAGGTGAAACAAAATTTACGGCAGAGACACAACTCGTAGTACCTTAAGCAGCGGCAAGTTTAATGCTACGGCTTTCTCAACCTCCTTAAAAAAAAAAGAAAAATAGAAGTAGTTATCATCAGGATGTGGCGCTTTAAATCCTAATACGGGTTAAACGGATTACAGTAATAATTATAAAGTTGAAACGTATTGTTATCTTTTTTTTGTTTTAATGGATAGGAGATACGAGATATTATGAGCGAAGTCTATACCATATCGATATTTGCGCGAAGTGCGAGGAACAGAGCGAGAACAACACGATCGATCGCGCATCTGTGGTCCGCTTTCAAGAATTAATTTGGTTTGCAAAGCAGCCGATATTTCCATAAATCCCGCGGAAATACCGTGTATCAGGCGAACCGCGCGCGCGATCTTCTCGTTCCTTTCCTCCACCCTCCTCGTCGGGATTCTTTCTTCCGCCATCAATCTTTCGATTACGTTCATTGGGCTTACTTCCGGCAATTAAGCGCCGCACCGTGGCTTTCGTCGGGATGAGCGGAAAATATTTTCCCAACGCGAGAGATATTCCGCGGAAAATTTCGATCTGTCCCGCGAGAGCACGGCGGATAAGCACCGCCCGTTACGGCGCGATGCCTGCCTGGATACGGGGGAATAAAGTAACTAAAGAGAGGAAAGAAAAAAAAAAGAGACAAGAAAGAACGAAGAAAAAAAAGGAGGAAAACAACGGGGGCGTACCGATGGCGGAAAGATGAAATAAAGGGAGGGACGCACAGAGCGGCGGTGGTTAAAAGTAGAAGCGAAGTCAAGTAGATACTTACGAATTTAGCGGTTTGCGCCGACAGCATGTCCGCGTACTGTATTAGTGCCTGGAAGGAGCCTGGAATACAGAAACGATAAAAACCATGAGACTACGTCGTCCGTTGGTGAACTTTACGACTTTTCCGTACAAGTCGCGCTCGAGATCGCAAAAAAAAAACCACCGAGACGCGACCAATGAAGTCATTCGTGAATGATAACGCACGAGAGCGGCATTGAGCGGCAAAATATACTCATTAATAATATAATTGTACACTTTGTGTAAAGAAGTAGACCGATATGCTCTTCTTGAAAGAAATTATTAATTAAGAATTACTTTATTTCGTTAGACGAATGATCAGGCTTTCGGCTCGAGTGATGACTGTGCTATGACTCCTGGGAGAGTCTTTTGCTCCAAAACGTGACGTCATAAAACAAAAGATAGCGCTAAGTACAAAAGAAATACCGCTTTAAGATAAGTCCGCATAACGTCGAACGCATGTTTTGACAGACGAGTGATAGCGTTCCCTTAGATCGATTACACAATCGAAGCGACAATTCCATACAGCCACATGGCTATTGTTAAACTTATCATATTCAAGAGCGGGAGAAGCAACAATTGATTATTTTTTCATTTCGCTTCCTAATGGCGTAACGCGCAATTTTGCGTTAGGCCCTGCGCACAATAGAGCGCAATAAGAATAAATATTGAATATTAAAAATATTAAAAATAATAAAAGAAATTGGAAGTAATAATTAAACGTAACGCACAATGGAAAAGTATAAAATACAAGATATAAATATAAGAATTATCCTACATTTATTTATTCTAATATTTAATATTTATTACAGGAATCTCTCTATATTTGTATATCCTAATATTTAATATTTATTCTTATTCCTAATATGTTCTCTATTGTGCGCAGGGCCTTAGACAAATAGCGACTCCGGCAAAAGTTGTCGGAATCTTTCCCTTGTAATCGCAAACTTCAAGGTATAAAATAAAAGACAAAAAACCGCAAAATGAAAAGTACAGAATATTCCATAAAACCTGTTGGGAACGCAAAACGCGCAAAATACCATTGAGAACGCAGCTCTAAATGCAAAATATGTAAACTCTTGAAAATTTGATTCGCAGCAGAAAACGGTATATTTTTTTTTGCGTTAAATACGCGCGGTATTTGAAGTACCTACCGACCGGCCATGGGCACAAAAAGCAGTGATTTGTTAATTTAGTGCTCGAGCGCTGCGGGAAACTAACTCTGTCATGATAATACGTTTTTCCCGTGCGGCCGGAAAGCCGGAATTGTTTCGTTAGCAGCGTTGACCAAAGTTCCAGCCGGCGGCTACGCTATTTCATTTTCGAATTTGTTCCGTCGTGATAATGGAACTCTTTACAATAATACGCTAAAACCCGAGCAACGTTCACGTGCGCGCGCGCGCACACACACACAATCGCACAGTTTCGCTAAAATCTTTTAATTTTCTGAATCCAGAGAGCCATTCCGTATGTAGGATTTTATGCGCATCAAAATATTTATGCGGCAAATACGGTATAATTTATACGATGTTAATTTTATTCAAAAATGCTTTAAAATTAACGAGTCTGTCCACCCAGCTAGGTCAAGGTTTTTCCCGGAAGATATCAATTGAAGTAGATTAATGTAAATTCAAAAAACGGAACGAGATGACTGATTGATGTATCCGATAAAAAAAGTAACAATTCTTTTATCAATAATTAAGAGTTACGGACATTTAATTTACGGACATTTTATTTATTCTGTACTGAATTGAGCGATTGTGCGGATGAATGCACGTGCCACGAGAACGCCTATCCCACGCGTGCCCCACTTCGCGATACGAGTACGCAGGGGTATAAACAATTGCAGAAGACAAATGTTAAAACTGCTAAGCGCGCGCGCGCGCTCGTTTTGTGAAGTTAATACTACAGAACATTCCAACCGTCGTTCGTTTTCCGCGTCCGGTCGTACGTGCGGCGGTCGGGTTTATAATTGTTATTAAATCTCAATTAAACGAAACGTCGCAAGGCATCCCGGACAATTGCAATTTTGCGAGTTTTAATCTCGCATACGTACGTCAAATTCGCGAGACTCCGACCGTGCCGCGTGCGCGCGCGCGCACCCCGCGATATTTCATTACGCGGAGCGCGTATGATACAAAACAAAGGATCAGCCCGCGGCAATGTTATTTAATTTTCGAATCTGAATTGCGGAAGCGAAAAAGAGAGTTCTCTCTCCCCCGGCGGTAGGAGAGCTCTCCCCGCGATGTTACGAGCGTCAGAAAAAGGAGCACCACGCGTACTTCGCTCTCTAGCTCTCGCGCTCTTTATCCCACGACAATCGCGGTCTCCCCCGGACGAATGGCCGCGATAACGATAATCGCGATGATAACGTTTACTTTGCTTCGCAGACGTAGTGGCCTCGTGGCCTCGGTAACCGAACGCGGAAATTTTCATTGAAAAGTTTTTTATTGCAATATATCTCGTTTGAAAATACGCGAGGCTCGTCGCGAACCGGAATAATATGGTAAAGCGGGATAATTTGCTTTTGTACCGCCGACAATTTTGCTTTTGTGCTATTTACAGCGTCAAAGTAATCCGTTTTGCGTTATTCAAAAGGTAATTGAAATATCGTCTGAAATTTCCTCCGCCCGTGACGCGAGTGACGCGTCTCCGCGTAAGGGAAAATAATCGATAGCATGCAAAATTATTAGGAGGATACGTGGCGCGTATAGTTGCGCTAACGCAAAATTCTCGCGCTACTCCGGCGAGTTTCTCGACGACGCGAAACGAACTTTCCACAAGTTTTTCGTTTTCGCATTCTCGTTTAAATTATAGCGACGTAGATTCCGTGACCTTTCACGGTTCAACATTCGCAGAAACCCTGCGGGCAATCCCCAGCGAATGTTGAATTCTGGGAGGATTCGGACGACGAGGAGCACGTGCGTGTGTGCAATCACGCGGACGCTTGACGTCACGACTCGCGCGCATCGCGCTTGTTGCGACGCGCGAACACATCGACGCACCTGTGCACAATCACGCACACCGACCCATATACGCGCACGCGAAATAATGATGCTCTCGCCCTCATCTACTGCAAACATGAATTAGTAACACGCTCGCTGGCTACGTACCGCGCGAGGGCCCTCCTCGTATACATATACCTTTTGTACAGCCGAGAGATTGCGCGCGTTACCCGATTCTCAGCTAACGATTTTGATTGAGGGAGAGAAAGCGGGAAAATTCCAAGATGCCGATTCATTGAGATTTTAAATGTATACACTGAGAGAAATACTTAAATCGTTCGAAAATTAACAAACGAGTATAATCCGATAACTTTCAATCGGAATTATAAAAAGCCGATCAAGGCCAAAATAATGTCCAATTAATGATATCTAGATATCATTGATAATTGGATATCATAGATCGAACATTATTTTGGCCTTGATAGGCTTTTTGTAATTCCGATTGAAAGTTATCGGATTATACCCGTTTGTTAATTTTTGAACGATTGTCTGATTATTTAAACCTGGATTTTTCTCTCATTGCATCTTCCGGTATTTCTGGGAAAGTTTGTATTATTTGTAAATTGTTGGCAATTCGCGATTTAACTCTAGCTCGCCACATTTCGGTTTTCTTATAATTTTCACATAATAACATAATTTTCTAGTTTCCATATAATTAATTCAGTTTAAATTCAAATCATTTTCTCGACCTGATATTATTATAAACATCTTATTCAGACTCTGTATTTCCAATTTCTTACAACAGTACAAGTTTAAAAACATTAATTAGAATGAAAATAACAATGTGACGGTCGAGCGGTCTCACGAACTGGAGAACCGGAGTGTGGCGAATTAGGGACTCGAAAACAAGTGTGGCCAGGGTGGCTAGGGTTAAGTAATGAACCCTGCTGTTCGATTTCCGTGCGTCATGCGTTCTTCCGGATAACGATTTCGTTTCGAGGTGGATTTCAGGGAGACACCCTTTGAGGCACTCGGCGCGATTCCAAAAGTACTAATGGCGCCAAGTGCGCGTAACGACGGCGGCAAGCCAGGACGACGCACTTCAAGCACACTGAAGTACTAAAGTGCCGTGTGTGTCTGCTAACGAGAGCGGGATCTATAGGTATACGGCTCGCGGGTTCCGCTCTACCGTTCGTTCTCCCTGTGACATCGATTCTAGGTCGTAACACAATGACGATACGCATATTAAAAGCGGTACTTACTGTTCTTTGTGAAAGTGACAATCTTCAGAACCTTGCCGAAGCGCGTGAAAATCTGCAACACACAAAACAAGTCTTGGCTGAGTAAAAAATCGATCGACTTACAAATCCATAAGAAATCTTATCTCGTGACTTTTGTGTTCCTCAGATAATTTAATTTGAAAATACAGTTGTAAAAAAAGCATTTATCTCGATAATCGTAATTATGTTTTGTTTACAATAACAATTAACGAAAATTCAAGGCGACGGGTCTGCAGGTGTTTTGCGAAAAATTACCTCGATTGAGTCTCGTAATTAACGTGAACTACAATCGTCATAATCGTGTCGCCACACGCACGAGCACGGGGGCAGGAACGTGACCGACGAAAATTACGAGTTTGGCGAACCGACGATATTTCGCAGCGACGAAATTACAAAATAATTGGTGTGGATATTACGACAAAGCGATTTATTTCGGGCGCAACGGGCTGCAAAACGGGTGCGCGTGGATTATCAGACTTATAACGCGGCAATTATCCACCGGTAAAAGCAGCTATCGGAATCCCCCGGTAAAACAGCTCGTAATTACGATGACCGGAACGGGCCGGGCGTTCTAAAAAATTGATTTGCGACACAATGGGCGCGGCAGCGGAATAGCATTCTGTATAAATACCGGCGACATTCAAAGGCCGGCCGGGGTAACGTTCGCATGAATTTTCAAAAAGCCTCTTTGGCGGAGCAAAGCGACGGCGGCGACGGGAGCAGTATCACGCAATATTTACAGGCGTATACGGTGTCGAGCCGCGGGCTAATAATCGCGCACGGCTCACGTCAAACCGCCGGCCGTCATATATTTGGCCGACAATGGCCGATGATCACATTAATGCCGCGAATGCAAATATTTGGCCCGGTATAACCGTCGCGCGCTCGCAACGGTCAACTGTATATACGGTTCTCCGCGGCGGCCCGAACGTATACACGGGTGAGCTCCGGGATTAATGATTTTTTGATCCATCCAGCCTTTCACCCCGATCGATTGTGAATCATTCCTTGTTAAATGTCAATATAGGTTTCGTCAGTGTCTCGGGCTCGCGTCAATTAACCGTTCCATTGGACTGGTTTGACAATGACATTGATTTAAGCGTTTCCGGGCGCCGCGCCGGAGCCATTTCCCGACGCTCGAGATCGTCGAAAGGGCGCGTTCGTCGAGTAAATACGTAAAAAGCTCGTAAAAGCTTGACCGCGAGGAGAAATGAAAAATTCCCGACACACAGAGAGGGAGGGAGGAAAACGTGGCTAATGCGAACCGCGTTTTAGCTTCCCGCGAATCAATATTGCACCGCGAACCGCGGACACCGGCATACCGAATGTTTATATTTCGCCGCTAACGCGACGATAAATTCGCGAAATGGAAAATAGAGAAACGCGCGCCGGGCATTAGATTGGAAAAAGGAGAAAAAAAGAGAACGATCGCAATATCGCGGAACGTCGCGCCGGCATATAAAACTGTACGAGGATGCATTTCTTACAAGCCGCGATCCTTTCGTTCCGCGCTTTGAGATTGCACTCTTCCTTTGACCATGGGTACGCGAAGTATAACGCATAAACAGATTTGCGATCTTTACAACCTTTTGTAAAACTCTTGCGTTCGAAATCGCGCCGTAGAAACTCTTGCGAAGGCGTTTACTCTCGCAAAACCAACGTGATGATAGTTTTTTCGACTCCGGCGTCACAACTCTCCTTCTTGCGTTTGAAAAAATTGCGGGCATTTATGTTTTACGATTAACGATTAATTCATTCGGGGGAAGGAAAATAAGTCATGTAAGAAACGTAATTTGCGGAAACGCAAACTGATTTTTAAAACTCGCTAATGCGTGCGTAAATGTCCGAGATTGCGAAAGCGCGGCGAATACAGTGTTACTCTCTGATAAATTAATTCTCAATTTTCGTGTTACGTACCGTGCGCGCGCGCGCGCACGCGGCAACATCTTTTAGCGAACGCAGGAAATGAAAAAATTGCTGTAATAATGAATGAAATTCCAACGTTAAAAGGAGGTACACACAACGTGAAAGAATGTGAAACACGCGCCGCGGGCTTCACGCAACGGTTCCGTAATTAGTGAGCTCCATAGAGAGGAAAGATGTGTGCAACCGCGTTGCATCTGCGCACGCATACACCATCTGGGACAAAGACTTTTCGCGTGCCAACGGCGCAGCCGTTCGGAGAACTTGAACTAGAAGGAGACTATACACACGGCGTTCTTTTCCTTTTTCTAAACAAGTCGCCAAAGCGGTGTTCTCCGCGGGTGCCCACCCATGATGCGCATGAGTCGTCGAGTGAATGAAAAATCCGAATAAGTAATGAAATTCTTTAATCAAACTGGATGGGCAAAATGTTCTCGTACAGACAAATTTACAAAAGAAAATTCAAATACGGTTGGATTAAATTTCAATTGCACATTCTTTAATAAATTTTTAGTTACTTTTTCTTTGAAAGATTTGATGAGAAAGTATTATTGCCGTAACTTTTTAATTTTAGAAAATTAAATAGTGTAATAGTTAATAATAACACTCAATATTAATTATAAATGAGATTTTATGACAATATAATATCTTGGTAATTTCATGATTGTTCCTTAACCTGAATCTAATAAATTTTTCTTGTCAAACCAAAGCTTGCAGGTTAGACAATGCTCCGGTTTTGGATGTTGTGTAATTGGTGTGCTTCTTAATATTTTCTTTGTATGTAACCATTAACTTTTTCCGATAAAAGAGCGAACAAATTTTCCAAAGAAACCTTTAAAAATAGGTTGAAACGTACGAGACTGTGTTAACGAGGAGTAGTGAAATTTTCCTGCAAATAAACGTTGAGTATAATCATTAGAGCCTGCCCATTACGGAGGGGCACCGATAACGATAAAAATCAGCGCATCTACGCAAATAGATTTTCTTCATTATCGTTACGTTTATTTTCCGCTGCAAGCAATGAGAATCATTTCAACGGTAATTGTCCCCGGATTCGGAATTTTCAGGATAGCAATTATATATCGGGATAAGCAATTACATATCGACTTACGTGTTGCATTTTCACGCAACAAGAATCTCCCTTTCTTTTTTTTTCCCCCGCGCAAGTACCGGCGATAATGCACCGTGTAACGTAACAAATACTTTTGACTAAACCCACTGGGAAATATTGTATTTCTACGAAACTGACGTTCGCGCGCAGCACGGACGCTATCGGGAGAGTCGAGTATCTCGCATTACATCGTCGGCTCGTATTACATCAAATAAAGAATTCGATTATCATGGGTCCATTATCGCGGATATTAAACTCGGAGATTGTGAACCGAATAAATTAAAAGTAGATGGATCGTTCACGCGGACGGATTCAGCGGGCGCGACGGCCGGGGCTCGCGAAGGCGGAAAGGTGATAACGATGATAATGTTTAGAATATATGGATTACGGTTCCATCCATTACGTTCACATACATCCGCGGCGTCCATTACAGGCCGCAAGACCGCCCGTAATAGCTCTCGCCCGGCTATATGCGCGCACATTTCCCTCTTCTTTACTCTCCTTCGCTCGCCATCGCTGCGGCTGCAGCTGCAACTGCGACTGCCGCCTGCGTTTCTCTGAGCGGTAACGGCGCGCGCTATTTACAACGCGTAATACAAAAAGCAGCAACGGCGGCAACAGCAGCGACAGCGCACCGTCGGGCCACTGTACATGTTTTTATCCGTTTTCCGATAAAACGGAAAATATTTCAATTTTGATGTTCGAATTTTTGCCATCGTGTGTTTCCGGCTCCGGAGGATGCATGCGTCCGACCGAAAACAGTTCGATCACGAGCGGATATGAAGTCGCGATGCGTCCCGCCAGTATTTACTCCGAGATTGCTCCAATAAACGGACGGATCGATAATAATCGTGAGAAATCACAAAGTTACGGGGAAAGATAATCTCCGGAATAGTCGACGGACAGTCCTATAATTGTATTCCTTCTTTTGTTCTCGAAAGATATAGTCACCGCGATCGAGTAGGCGACATCAGTTTCTAGCTCAACGCGGAATTTTCGTCGCAGAGTGAATTTCGGATCCTCATAAACGCATATAATTAATTCCGTTATAATTTCAAACTGTTACTTAGTTAATTCCTTCTTTCATAATTTGTTTTGCGCGATGAAATATAAGCGCCGAACGGATAGATCGATGTCGTATAAATGTTCCAATTGGCAGCGCAAATGGAAAGCTCCCCGGCCTTCCCTTGGCATTTACGCGCGCGTCCATTACAAACATACTGTACAATAAAATTAATTAAACCGGTATTTAATTAATTAATCGAAATCGGACAAATTTTCCGCTTCCTGCACTACAACCAGCGGCAAATTGTCCCGGTGAATTTCGGAGAAATTCGAGCCCCCGTAGGCGGTAACGTTTATTATCGGCGCAGTTGATGCATTCCACGATTGCTGCCGAACACACACAAACTTCTGTTCGTTATTGCACCATTATTCCCCCTATTCCGCTGTTAGTGTTTGCCTCCTACTGTTGTTAGAGATTAGGGAAGTACACTCGGCCCCCGTCGTTACTTCACGATATATCGTACATCGTGCGACACGTGCGACTGAAATTACGTCACCCATTACGTATCAACAGCTATCACCAAATAGTGCGATGTCTATATTGCATCCTTGCTGTCAACAAATGCTTTGTGCGACTGGAAATATGTAAGATATTAGAGACATGCATGATGTTGGAAATCGCTATTTTTAATCTATATACGTCGCCGATTCGCTCGGCTTCATTCTAAAAAGAAAATATGCATGTTCATAACAAAAGTGCGCTGCGCCGGATATGTCGACGCTGAGAAAGTAATATCGATAATATTGGATGTTCCGATATCTGCAACTTTGTGACGAATGGATTAAGGCAATCCGCTTTCACGCCCCGGCGGACAAACAATAGCGAGATACGCTCTCGCCCGACGAGATGTAAATAAGCGAAATCGGAGAAAATCGGGAAATCTGGAAATAAATCGGCACCCGGCGCTGAAAGAAAATCGGCGTTTCACAAATTC